GATACGGGATTTACGGAAGATTTCGATTGATGGCCTGGTTGTGTGTGAATGTCCGTGGTCCACATGTGTCCGTCTGCCGTGTTTAATTGTCTGTCTGTAGGCCTGCGTCTTGCAGGACTGCGGGCTCGCGGGCGTGTATGTATTCTTAATAATAGTTGCCCTATAGTATGACTGGTTGGAGTGTCACTGCTTCTCCTTCCACCAAGGGACATGTGACATGAATAAGTAAGTCGGCATCAATGCATATTTGTAATTAAGAGTGTGCGCGTGTGTGTGGATCTCGTCGTGGAATTGAAAAACCTTTTGTACCGTCTGCCAAACTGACTCATTGCGTCAGGGTCGCCGATCATAAAGGGCTGCCTTCGCGATCCGCTTGGCGTGCTTGCTCTCGACTACATGCTGCCTCTTCATTACCTGCGCAGCCAAACGATTCGTGTCTGCGGCTCTTGATGGTGTTGTGGACTTGCAGTTTAGCTGGGGCTGTGGAATGCGGAGTGCGGGGAAACGTGATAACTTAAAAATGGCTGTCACATGGTCGTTGCAAAACAACCACGCCATGCTCATGTGAAAGCAGGCCCCTAAACCCTAACCGTCTGTACCCGGCATCTCAACAGGCGCTCACAACGGTTCAGACCCATTCCGAGATGAATCCGTCAAGACCCGGGATGAAGTCGCAGATGAGTCAAGCCTACTTCAGCTGAATATCCCGGCCAGATAAGCCAGAGCCTTTCCCTCTACTCGTAGCTATCTTCTCGCTTAGGTTGTAGACTTAATAGACAAGGTTGCATCAAGGACCGCATGAAGCATTTTTTGGTGATTTGTCGCAAATGCCTCAATGCCGCCGGGCAGGTCGGAAAAGTAGGAATCCTAGGCGGGCCAAGGTACGGGCAGGGCAGGTGGGAACCGGAGAAACTAGGAAGAAAAGGAAACAACATTGGGATGTCTCTATAGAACATCGTGTCACACCTTCAGAAAATCAATCGCAAACCTACATCGCAAAGGGGAGCAGCAACACGTCGCTGCCAATCAAGCGGAACACCTGACACTCAAGTATCGAAATGGACAAGTATACGTACAGACATGCATGCATACATGTATGTAAATGTATGTCAATGAATATTACATGTGCGTGGGTGTGTACGTGTGTTTTGATTGAATACGGGAGGTCAGTCTTGAACTTGGGCTGCGGCATACGGAGCCACCGGCTTGTCCGAGCAACCACGGTGCGGGGCCGCATCCGGAAGTGGCAAACTGGACGGACAAGACAGAGTCAAGGTAATTCGACACGTATAAGCTTACAAACCTTCAGCTGCTTCTTGGGGCTTGATGTGACCTTTTGGTTCTTGAACTTCGAGATTTCTCCGATGCTTTGGACCATGGTTCGGGTGTGCTGCTTACTCGGTGCTGACGGCTTCAGGCTTGCTATGTTAATTCTCCTTAACCACGAGATCAGCATCCCGTTCACTGCATCCTAAGTCCATGGCTTTACTCTTATCTTGATGGTTCGTATCAAACGCAGGCAAGCTTGACATGTCCTCCCTTGTTTCTTACCACTTGCATGGTTCGAACCATCCATCCACAAAAACTCGCACTCTCTAGCAAAGTATGTCCCGCTCTGTGTGCTAGCACGGCTTGCACTTCCATGTCCAAATGCGAATACCCGTCGTCAGCGACCCGCACCACTCTTGCCACGTGCTGAATGGAAAATGGTCCGAGTACGATCTGTGCCGGGTCTCGGGCCCTTTACCAGATCGAGCTGAAAGCTGAGCAAACGTAGGGCACTGCTTTTATCCTTTAGGCAGTAGGCATTCCAAGCGCCCATCCCGGAGTTTGGACCCCCAACTCTGCCACGGTGCTCTGATCCGTACTCCTCAAGCGAAGGCATGGGGAAGTTGCAAAGAGGTGGCAGCAACGGGCTTCAAGGCTATAGCTGTTGCCTGCATTTTTTCCAGGCGCACAAGCTAAAGAGAAGGCAGGGAGCCATCAGCACCAAGCAGCATCAGCACCATCCAGAAGACAAAAGCCCCAAAACCACTACGCACCGCCTTTCGCCAGTTCATGCTGCCGTGCCTTTGTGGACGCACGTGCATGTGTGTTTGTGTGGATGTGAATTCTGACAGTTACGTAAACGACAGTGTACATAGTCTATACATAGGATGTATTCACAGATCTACAAACTACTCATGTCCAGCATGTTCATGCCCTGATTGCCATTGGGTGTGTATCTGCCTGTCATGATTCGCACCAAACAGTAGGCATGCAGCTAGAAAGCCGATCCGGTATGCCGGTACACACACTTAGCATCAACCTTCAGGTACTACAAGGGCCTTCGTCATTGGATTGGGTTTTTTGGGCGTATACTATACCATGTATACCATAACTACCCAAAGGAAAAAACGAAATCGTTCTGGCGATGAATCGGCCCCGGTGTTGTCGAGGCTCGCTTTGGAGGTACAAATCTGTCTCCGCAGGGGTCCAGAAAGTTTCATTCATCCAGGTTGCCAGCACGAAGTTGTGAATGGGCAGCGGGCAGGGGAAGAAACCTGCATCGGAAAGACCCCATTGCAACATGTTGGATGTTATGCTGTCTTACTTCGTCATCCTCATGCGCGCTGGATGTAACATGAATGTCCGAAATACGCGGTTCGGAGTCTAAGGTACAAGCTCGGCACCTGTGAGTTTTCAAACCGCCTGCGGTCAACTTCTTAAAAATTCATGTCGTGATTCGTAGACGGGCTTAGGGTTCAGCGTTAGCTACAAGTTTCAGGACTCCGGGGTTCCTGGAAGCTGGAGCGATGGTTCAGGGCCAGATGGAAAAGGTGCTAGCAGCCTCGGAAGCAGATGGGAAACCACATGCAGCGATCTGAGGTGGCCTGAACAACTAAAGACAATTAAACTGGGGCGGTTATACGGCAGAACAAGAATTGAAAAAACCATATGTGTTCAGGTATATATATATGCACATACATACATACATACATACATATGCAATTAAATGTGTTCAAACGGAAACTTCTATATGTATGTATGTATGTATGTATGTATGTATGTATGTATGTATGCATGCATATTATATATATATATATACATACACATACATTGACATTAATACATACATACATATATAAAAATGCATGCATACGTACATACATACATACATACATACCTACATACATACACTTATTTATTTATTTATTCATCTGATAGAGAGAGAGAGAGAGGAACCTTCAGGAACGGTATTACATCAGTCAGGCCCTAGCTTGGAGGATTGAAGCTGGTGATGCAAAGGGCTTCGTCAGATGCCAAGACACGGCCCTGCTGCTGCGAGGACCTGAGAGCGGTCGCCCTATACTTGCTGGTGCTTAGTTTCGGTGCTCTGGAGACTTGGACACCCTAGAGCCGCGTAAACCGCCTAAAACCATGTGGAGGATCCCTGCTAAGAACCACTCCTCACGCAGACATGTAGTAAGTAATTATGTATGTGTGTACCTATGTATCTATGTCCGTCTGTCTGCCTGCGTGTGTAACCCTTAATGTGAAGAGTCACTCAGGGTTTCTGGAATGCTGTAATAAAGAACCCATACCTACCAATATTCGTCCTTAGGCATACAGGATCAAGGAGCCCAAAACGCTGTTCTAATTATTAAGGCCACATTAGTGATTTTTCAGGGCCTCCCTAAGCTTGGTATAGCTCGCCTGCAGTCCGCGACATCCTTCAACTGAGTGGCCATGCAACGCTTTGAAAATTTCACTTCGTTCAAGATCCTGGTAGTTGTAGTCGTGAAAACGCCACGTCGTTCAAAACCCTGGCAGTTGAAATGAGCCCTAAGAGGCAAAGATTATCAAACTTCAGCCTGCTCTGCAACCTCCCTCCATTGCTCTCAGCCACAATCCCAGGATGCTATGTGAATGCACCTGCTTTCCGAATACCATCGTAACACGCCACTGCATGGCACCAGTGTGAGACCTAACGTTGCATGCCAAATTGCTGTTGCGTGTGCTGCAATCGCTTCCATTGCTACTGCTGCTGCTAGTGGCAATGCTGTTGCTGTTGCTGTTGCGGCTGGTGGTGTTGCCTTGGTGTTTGTCATTGTTGTTTGTGTTGCTTTTGTTGTTGTTGTCGTTGCTGTTGCTGTTGTTGTTGTTGCTGTTGCAGTTGCTGTCATTGTTGCTGTTGCTGTTGCTGTTGCTGCTGCTGCTGCTGTTGTTGTTGTTGTTGTTGCGGCTGCTGTTGTTGTTGTTGCTGTTGTTGCTGTTGTTGCTGTTGCTGTTGCTGTTGCTGTCGCTGTCGCTGTTGCTGTTGTTGTTGTTGTTGCTGTTGTTGTTGGTTGTGTGTTGTTTGTTGTTTGTCGTTTGTTGTTTGTGGTTGTTCTTGTTGTTGTTGTTGTTGTTGGTGGTGGTGGTGGTACTGGTGGTGCTGGTGGTGCTGGTGGTGCTGGTGGTGCTGGTGGTGCTGGTGGTGCTGGTGGTGCTGGTGGTGTTGCTGGTGGTGCTGGTGGTGTTGCTGGTGGTGTTGCTGGTGGTGCTGGTGCTGGCGGTGGTGATGGTGGTGGCGGTGGTGGTGGTGGTGGCGGCGGCGGTGGTGGTGGTTGGGGGGTGCAGCGGCAGTACTAGTCGGCAGCATCGTGCTGGTCTCCTCCGTCGTCGCAGTGACTTAAGAACTGCAGCCCGTGCCGACGGGACAACTGGCTTGCAGAAACACAAGCCAGCAGGCGTTGTTAGTGTATTTGCAGGCCCTTTGCTCTTGCTTCAAGAATCTCCCAGGACACAGCAGAAGACTGCCGTGGTCGGCCCTTACTTTGACAAGCAGGCACTGCAGAGCATCTCTCTCGAGGATTTTGCGGCTGCAGCCCGGCCTCCTTTGGGCTTGTCAGTTTGGGATAGATATGTGCTCAGGCTGACACCAACGCGGTGTATTTGGGGCTTGGGCTATCTCGCGGATGTTGGAGTAGTCCCTTGTTTTCGCTCCGGGAAGCTTACCCTGGGGCCGGGACACCAAGGCGAAGAAGCATCGAGATCTCGAGGCTCAGAAGGCCACGACAGCCACGACGCTGGTAATCCGGAACCTCCCAGACACGATTACTAACCAGGACACTGCCCTGAAGTGGCTGCAGGCCATTGCTGACTTGAGGGGCTATGACTTCTTCCTCTTCTTCCCAAAGCCCAGGGCGAAATCTAGCACCATGGCCTATGCCTTCGTCAACTTCTGCTTTGCGAGTCGGATGGAGGCATGCCGGCAGAGCCTGCGTGGCTACAGTGTCGAGGGCAGCGACCCCTTGAATGTGGTGGTGGCAAAGGACACTCAAGGTCTACAAGCCTGCAGGTCCCATTTTCAGCCTCTCATCGAGGAGGGCCGGCTGCTGCCGATCATCCGGTGCTTTGACGAGGCGGCTGCAGAAATTCCCGCCCGGGTGGGCTATCAGTGAGACGGTAATTCATCTGGGAGCAAACAAGCCCAAAAGGGGGTTGTCCCCGCTACGTGTACCGGTACTAATGCAACTAGACTTGGTGTAGTAGTGCTCAGTATTGCTACTACCACCACCAGTTATACTGCTGCGGCTGCCACTGCCACTGCCACTACCCCTACCACGACGACGACTACTACTACTATGTCTACCTAGCTACTGCACCACTACCACTACTACTACTACTACTACTACTACTAGGGTTGCGCGCCTCCTGGCGCCTGGTAGTTTTATGTGGTTCGAGGGTCCAAAATGCAGGTTTTAGCGCAATTTTTCAAAAATTGAGTTAAGCGAAAGGGGGGGCAACTAATTGGGAGGACTACGAAGTACACTGAACATGATTATTTTGATGATGACGATGATGATGGTGAGGTTGACG